TTAGCTGGTACATAAATAAAATATATTATTCCAACATTTCTCTATGTTTGAATTAACTATGAATATTATTAATATATGTCAAAAAATAAACTGAATTATTTCTTGACCATTTCAAAAAATGATATATTACTTTTTCTACAAATGTCTTTTTCTCATTTTCAATTTTTAGAAATATTATACATGTTAGAGAAAATATTGAGCTTTTTGGCAGAAAGGAAATTCTTTACGTGATTGAACACTCAATTACGTATGCAGTCATTGTGTGAGGTAATGGAAGAGTGGGTAAAGATTCCATTTAGTAAAATCCTGTAAAACAGTAAGACATAGAGCTGATTGCAAAGTTAATTACAGACTAACTTGATAATTACAGACTAACAATATATTTGATAACAAGTACTTGTAAATCTATTTACCAATAATGCATGCACCATCAAATATAGTCTCAGTAAATTTTGTAATATTAACTTTTGGCATTAAGTTTATGAAAGTACTCTCATATATTTGTTTCAATGACAATCTGCTGCCAGAAGAAAAGAAATAGTTGTCAGTTATTTATTTACTAAATAAAAATGACAAATATATAGTTTTTATTTTTCTTTGAGAGAGAGGTGCATCCCATTCTGCCTGCATTATATGAATAAATGAGCTTTGTGAATTTCGCTTGTTTAAAAAGAAATCAAATAAAAGTATGCAAGGTGAAGTGTGGCTTTCCGCGACGTCTCCTGTTTACGATTTTTTTTTTACGCACACTGGTTTACAAACTGTAAATATACACGTAACATATTTGAGTCGAAAGAAGACCATAAAACCATTGTAGCATCCCGTTCAATATGGCGCAATTTTCAAGGTTGAACTTTCACAATTTACCTAGTTAATTTAGTAAATTTCATTGCCCGCTGAACCATTATATGTGCAGTAACCGATCCTATAATTAGAGAGATAATCTGAAATCACGGAGTTACAATATCGGTGAGTAAATTCAAAATTGTGTCGTATTTTGCCAGTTTTCGTGACTTTAGTTTGCCGATAACGTTCTTGCATTTTTATGATTTAAATATGTCAAAATATGACTTTGTAATGTTGCTTCACCCAATGACTGAGATGACAACGCTGCAGATCATTATTATTTATTGCTACACTTGCCAAATCGATGAAGTGCTATCAGTTATCGACAATAGGGTTATGATATGATAATGTCAAACGCACGCTTAGGAATCTTAAATTCATTTATTCTTAGGTTATTTTTCCTCTCGCATATCTAATCAAAAATTATTCAGAGGTTGTTATATTTAATTCTTTTCATCCTCAAAGAAGATGGAAGTTATTTTATTTCAAAATGTATTAAGGTACGTAATTAGTTTGATAGGATTTTTGTTGTTCAAAACTCACAAGTGCCATTCATCTGACATGTGCTGTAGACCTTTCAAAATGAATATTGTAAAACTAAAATTTAGGGCTCAATAAAGGATGATCTTGAATAACACTTACTGGTGATTCCTGGACTTGATAAGTGATTTTGGAATAATGAACTAAAACTGAAATACTTTTGCCAACGAGGTAAATACTTGGGGTTTTTTTCTTCCTGATTACATAGTACATGTTCGATGTAATCCATTTCAGTGGATGATACCTGAATCACACAAGAAGCTGATGAGGATGCAGTATTTTATTCTGAGGATTATGTTTTGCAGATTGAAGTGATTCAGAGTAATTCTAATGACATTCTTGTTTTCACCTAATAGTTTATCATCGTGACAGATGAGAGGGAATCTATTTGACACCATCCTCCCCCCAAATGGATTTCTACATGGAAGTAAATTAGTGTACCATTTCCAAAGCAATACATAACAAAAGTATAAGGAGTTTGCGCACACAAATCCCATTCATATGCTATTATTTTCATCTGATTAAATATTATTAAATGATTTGATGACTTCAATCTTTTTTATTGTGACAAAAGATCTCATTTTAATTGATGTTCACCACATATTAACATTTTCATTTTAATATTTGATATTACATTTCGCACATCAAGAGCTAAAAAAATGGAGGTATGTGACCATGTATAGAATAATTCAATCAATGCCATATCAGTTCTTCTGATGCAACTTAGGTCAGCTTTGTTTGCAAAGTTGCGCAATCTTCTAATCAGTGAGTTTGTCACAAGCTTTCCTATTACTAGCTTGCGCGAGCTTGCAAATTGCAATGGGCAAGCTTGCGCAAGCTAGCCGCAGTTCCAAATCTAAGCTTGCTACAAACTTACAAAATCAGCTTGCCGCAACCTTAAAAATAAGCTTGCAATTTTGGTTTGGGATATGCAGGACTAGCATTTGCTTTAAAGAGCTTTACAATAGCGACTGATGTGCTAAAAGTGACAAGGAATTGAACCAGGATGATTTTGAAATTATATAACTCCAAACTGATTAACTTCCAGGTTTTTAAGATTGGACAATGTATAGATCACTGGTGAGAATTGTTGATATTGTTGCCAGATACCCATTTCTATCAAAGATAGCCATATCTTTGCAGAATTTGTTTGGTACATAAGTAGAATCATCCTTCAATATCATGAGTGGTATTATTGTGTATATCATCAAAATATTCTAGATGTGTTATAATTTACTGTAAAATGAGCAATTATGTGATAAACGTTTGTTTATGGAACAAGGACTAATTCAAGACACCACAACAGCATCATGGTTTGTATATTAATAAAAAATCAAGTCTGCAGTACAACAGTGACATAAGGCAGGATCCTAACATTTATTCTTTTCACAATTAACGTCTCAAACGGATGCTTTTCTGTAATTTTACATCTTTTTTACAGTTGAATTTTTCACTGAAGGATAATATGTTATATGTTTATGTGTTCACATATGCCTGTGCATATGTTCCAGGCTTGATACTTGATTTTTAAAATCACTCATTTAGTGTCAAGCCAGATTCTTCACATGTTGTACATACTGTATATATTTTACATAACAGACAAAATGCCTCATAGTAGATTAGCTCTGTAACTGAGTTACCTTCTCTAAATAAATTATTATTATTATTATTTCCCATATTTCTTGCTTTGGATGTCATAATTACAACGTCTGTATAATTTTTTTAATGTAAAAGAAAAAGAATATGAGAGTCATGAAATACAGTACTCTGAGCACCTGACCATGATCATTACAAACTTCAAGTTCACAATCATTCAGTAAAAGTTAAGGAAGTGTACTAATTGAAGTGAATGCTGAATATAAATAATTTTTCAGTATATGTTGCATTTGCATTCTGGTTCAAATCCATGTGGATTTTGCCCATTGTGATAAGAATTTTGACCAGCTGTAGAACCATGAAAGTAGTGAAAATGTTTCATATATACTGTAATTCTGGCATGTAATGTATAGCTTAAACTTTGTATGCCTAAATCGCACTGTTTTGCTACTTATAATAGGAATAAATACTTATACCTCTGTGATTAGTATGTATTGAAATGGATGAATGTTTCAGATCGCAGTGTAAAATTTGGCACTAAAGGAACAGGATGGGCATTCTGGATATTTTTAAAAATTTAATTTGTGACAAACAAAATTAAAAATATAAAAATGTAATAATCATTTGCTTCATTATAAATTGTTGATCTGATGCATTTTTTGCCAGAGGTTTCCTAGGAAACCTCGGACAATGTCCTAGGAAACCTCGGACGAAGTCCTAGGAAACCTCGGACGAAGTCCTAGGAAACCTCGGACGAAGTCCTAGGAAAGCTCGGACGATGTCCTAGGAAACCTCGGACGAAGTCCTAGGAAAGCTCGGACGATGTCCTAGGACACCTCGGACGATGTCCTAGAAAACCTCGGACATCTGAGTATAAAAACCTTGGACATATATAAAAAGGTTTTGTCTGTAAATAGTCACTGTAACCTCGGAAAGTAAATAACCAATACTCCGAGGTTTTCCCTAGGAAAATTTTTCCGAGGTTTCCTAGGAAACCTCGGAAAATGTACAGCCGGGTAGTTGTCTGCTCAGATTGTAGGATTCGCACCCGTGCCCTTGCGGTCGTGAATGCGTGACGCTTACCACTGAAGCCTTGCGTTTTTTAATCCAGGAACAGAAAAATTTGCTTACTTTGTTTAGTTGTTTGTTCACTTAAATGAAACTTTACTGCAATTTTAAATCTATTTATATTTTGCAATTCATTTTCAGTTTTGATAAGAAATACCAGTTATGTATTGGGTTATAAGATGAAGGTTGTAAAATATACTCTGTTACAAAGCTACAATTGCTGACCCTGGCATTATATGATGTTGACCTGATTCTCTAAATAAATTGCATATACTAGATAAATATGCTAAACTACAGTTGTTTACATTGTTACATACATGGTTTAGCATAAATTATTGGATTCTGTTTTCGGCATTTACTTTCCCTACATTTGTCAGAACAGAGAGATAAATAGATGATTTTAATTTAGATATTTGCTATAAATCAAATAGTTATATGTTGAGTACTCTGAACAGTTTCCATAAAACCACGAGGAATAAGAATAATCAATATGGCATTGAGTCAATGCAGTGCACAAAGATTATTTTATGTTGTCATGCCATTGAGTCAATGCTGTGCACATAGATTATTTTATGTTGTCATGCCATTGAGTCAATGCAGTGCACAGCTTTTTTATATTGTCATGCCATTGAGTCAATGCAGAGTGCATAGAGTATGTCAAATTGTCATTAAAACAGTACTGCCTGTATTATTAACTTTTCTGTACAATATAATTTGTTTACATGAGCGTGTTATTTGAATTTTTAACATCTTTTAGTCATATCGTTACTATGTCAGCAGTGTGGCATTTTGTAATGCTGTCTAGCACTGGGACATCATGCCGCAGACATGTAGCATCATGTCCCACAGTCACATTATCCCGACACCAAGCCAACCAGTCCTAACAATAACCTTATAATGCTGAACGCCAAGCGAGGCATCTGCGAGTACCTTTTTTAGAAATAAGTCCTTGGTAATACTCGGCCGGGGTTCGAACCTGCGACCTTCCACATTCGAGGTAGATGCTCTAACCACTTAAGCCATCGTAGTGATTCAAAACAATTTGGCATTCCTTCCCAAGATTATCGTTAATCTAAAATAAGACCTAAGTATTTTACTGATTTTTGTGCCCTGTTGCCATGATCATTAGATTTAACAATGAAATGTCTTTAGCATGCCACATTCACTGACTTGACTCAGTGATTTGTGATTCAGTTTGCGCATGATATGACATGCATGTTGTACATACAGGGCTATGCAGTGTCTTTTAGGCAACAACATGCTCTCTTTACTTTCTGTGGACAAAAAGGTTTATTTCTTTCTCTTAGTTTATTTCACTGGATGAACGAAAGAAAGATGTGGCCTTTCTTCGGAATACATCGACCACTTTTTCTCTCCAAACATCGTTATTTGAACTTCATTCGGTTTACAAACTCGTTTAGAGCAGCCGTGTGAGATGTTCATGAAAAAGCTAGGAGCGGGGAATTGGCGATTATCAGTAAACAATACTTCGACTTTTTGGTGTTCAAAATGTAAGCATAGTTGCTCGATTTTCAATGCTGGATGCATTTACAATGTAGGATTTAATTGATACGAAAATAAAGACAACTTTCAAAATTGACGATTTTGTGAGAAACCAATAATATCTAACAATACCGAATGTTTTTAATGCGAACATTTATACTAACATTGACATTTTTGTTAAAGTGCTTACCAGGTCGATTTCACACAGTTTTCCCCAGATCCCATCTTAACAAATTACACAGCGATTTCAACAATAGTGAAAAAACTAGACACAGTAAGATACTCCAGTCGAAATTCCCCTAGGGATTCCGAATTATTACATTTCTTTCTGGTACTGGTTTTATGACAACGGGAATGAAAAACACCCGTCTTTCATAACTCAGTAGACGTAGTAACGCTGTTGTACACATCACATACAAATACAAACTAAACCAACACTTTCAATACACCTAAAGTTCAGTCAAGTTTAACAGACTTTCCCCATCCCTACTTGTTTAGAAAGTATAGTTTTGATGCTCAGTGGGACGATGCAGTCTGATCGAAAGTGACGTCAGTTATTATGACGTCATAAGAGCATAAGAGTGGAAACATACTATCCTCTTTATTTCACCCGTGGTGATGACAGTGGTGATGATAGTAAAGATGACAAATATATTCAAATTATGATTGTGATCATTTTGTTAAAGATGACTTGAACTTCTACGACAACGAAAATGCATAACAGGTCACATGATATAGGATAAATGATGGTGATGATAATAATCATACGTGTGGCAATGAGTAAAATTATCGTATCAGCCTGTTTAACACGGTGGTTAAAAAGGCGACCACTTCGACAGCATGATCTGGGTCATCCGAAGTATAAGCGACATCGCCATGAAACGTATTGCTTTCGGGCCTCAGAATTCAAATAATTTCCTTTTATATTAGGTATAATTATTTATTGTTATACATTTTCCACTTTAACTAATAGATCCGTGTTATATTCGGCGTAGTAGTTAAAACGTCTGCCTTGGATGCGTGAGGTCGTGGGTTCGATCCCACGTCGGGTCATACCAAAGACTTACAAAAATGCTACTAACAGCTGCCTCGCATGACGCTCAGCATTAAGAGGTTAGTGTTAGGACTGGTTGGCCTGGTGTCAGGATAATGTGACTGGGTGGGACATCATCCTACATGTCTGAGGCATGATGCCTCATTTGTAGACATCACTATAACCTGCAACACTGCTGACATCGTAGCGATATGACTGAAAAATTGTTAAAGCTACGTTAAAAATCATAATCACGATTACATCATCGTACCTCAATTCTTGTTAGATTTTTTTTAATGATTACCTCGCAAAAGAATAATAGTCTATAGCTTATGTTAACAACACTATATATATATATATATATATATATATATATATATATATATATATATATATATATATATATATATATATATATATATATGTTAGGACTTAGTAGTGACATCATCGGTTTTAAAATGCTATGCTGTGTAGGTATGCCACCCATCCATTCAATGTTTGTACGTATGCTATTTTAGATTTTTATTTGTTTTTAATTTTGGAAGATAAAGAGGGGTGTGTTGAATAGAAAAGGGGCTGGCATTATATTATGCGGTATTTTATTCATAGTATTAAATTAGTTCATTATTATTACTATTTATTATGAATGATAATATAGTTATTTGAATATAAGTATAATATAATAATATAATATAATAATTGAGCTGTGTGTATGTATATTTCCGGTAACACAAATAGCGCACAGAGCATACCAAACACACACATGACCACTGAATATGAAATCCTCAAACCCTCCACGCCCACCATGCAATTAATTAAAACAGCACTAAACACCACCACCGGTACCCTCACCAGGCAAAGTCCATCCCCAACCGCCAATGACATCCACTCATTGGAGGACGCACTAATCACTATTCACCAAGATAACAAGAACAGGTATCTCTTAATCCACATCTGGAAAGAAACAAACTCCCACACGCCGAACGATGCACCTCCCCCCCCCAGGGAACACAAAGCTAATGAAACACACCAGCAGCGTCCACACATCACCACACAAAACATTACAAACCAGAAAAGGAAATTCGAACAGGGCATGAGTACAGGGACCCAGCAAAAGCGCCAGGCCCAAACTGTACAGGCCTGGCCCTCCGTCTCACACGACACAGGAAAATCCAGTCAGAGACTGATCCTTTAACATTACATCGACACCAACCACAGCAACATAATACCTCTCTTTGACTACAATCAGGTGTATGAGCAGGTGGCGAGAGCACCAAAGGAGATGCAACCACTCAGGGGAGGAAACAAAGCCAAAAACACAGAGCTACAACTAAAAAAAACCCACACCATACAACCATAATAACAGTACCAGCCAGCTAACCAGCAATAACAAAACAAAGGGGAATCTGAGCATAATAGCCACCCCCAATACGCCTCAACCTACATACCGGAGAGACGGTGCACTCATCGAAACCAACAACCACAAACTAACCAAGCCAACCTGAAGCATTCTACACAACAGCAAAACACCTGGCCCCTCCAACGGATCCACATGACACGACCCTACACAATTAAAACAATATATAATCATCGGAAAACATCGTTATCAGCCAGCACAACTTACTCTCTAAATAAACTGTCGCGATAATAAACTTCTCAGCACTAGTAAAGCCATGATAGCGGAAAACCTGAAAGCACTACACCCCAGCACCTTCAAGGTCACAACGAGTAACACTAACATCATTGTATGGTGCAGCAAAAAGCAACAACTACGTAAGTATCTAGACATTAAGGATCTAAACGGCATAGAAGTCACTACCAAACGGCACTGGAAAAACTACAGGATCAACAAAACCTCCAATCAATGGCACACCCGGCAAGCAACCAGAGGGACAGGAGAAAAACCGTTATCTACAAAGACTCACTAATCATATGGCAATGGAGCTGCAAGGGCTTATTTGCAAACCAGGGGGAACTGGTCGCAGCCATCGCCGATAATCCCCCAAAACCAGATATAATCTGCCTAAAGAAAACCATGCTGCCCCAACACCACCCTAAACATACCGAAATTCTGGACTATGACCTCGTCTTCTAAAGAGTAGACACAACAGAGTCAGGGGAGGGGGAGTGGCGACATATATACACAATACTATACCGGAGGCGATTGAATTAGACACCCAAACCAACATAGTACCTACACAACTAGAGCATCAAGAAATACAGATCAAAAAAGAGGGAAGAAATATACGATTTACAAGATCTGTGACCCACCCACCCATGCCAAGGACTCCACCCACAAACTCAAACAAACTGTAAAAACTCCCACCAATCGCTCCATAATATGCGTGGACTTAAACGCACACAACGAGGACCGGTGAAGTAAGCATACTGATCACAGGGGGAAGCTCTCGGAACTGTTTGCCAGGAGTAACCAACTCCTTGTCCTTAAGACGGGAACGCCGACGCGAATCAACCCTACCAACGGACAACTTTCCACTCTGGACCTCGCCAACGGTAGCAAATATGGACTTGGCATGTGCGCAAATATGGACTTGGCATGTGCAGGACAACAAAATGCTAGGGAGAGATCACTTCCCTATCACCCTAAGCATCTGCCTGAGAAAATCGAAGGACAAGTAAATTCTTCCCCAGAGGTGGAAATTGACTCAGGTCGACTGGAAACATTTTCACTCCATGCTCCAGCACAAATACAATGATGATATCAGAGACCCCGACCCTAACCAGTACTATACCAACCTAACAACGGCCATCAACGAAGCAGTACAAGTGTCCATACAACGTCAAAGGGAAACTTCACTACACCCGAAATCCCCGTGGTGGACAGAAGAATGCCAAATTGCAATTCAAGCCAAAAAGCGAGCTTTAGTCAAGTTTAAATGAAAACAAGCGTCCATGGACATTACCAACTACAAACAACAGGAAGCCCTCACCAAGGTGGTTATCAAACAGGCTAAATCAGCATCCTGGAAAAACTATTGCTCCACACTTAACTACCGCACACCCACCAGAGAAGTCCGGGCCAAAAGAAGAGCCTTCAAGGGAAAAGCACCAAGGATAGCTCTACGGTTAACGGGAACCCAAAAACAACCGGGAGCGCGCCGAAATGCTAGCGTCACACTTTGCCTCAGCTATCAGCAATTAAAATCATACTCAATAATTAATGGCGCAAAGATGGCAGGCGGAAACCACCTATCTACACCTCTTTCAGGATCAGACCTCATACGCCCAAAGTAGATATATATCACTCAACGACTACTTCACAATCCACGAATGGACACAGGCACTGAGGCGCAAAAAGAATACCTCTCCAGGGCCGCAACAAATAAGCTACACCATGTATAGGAACCTACCGCACAACATGCAGAACATAACCCTCGACCTCATCAACCTAATTTGGGAGACGGGCGATATCTCTACTAACTGAAAAGAAGCTACTGTTATCCCCATACCTAAGTTGGGAAAAGAGC